CTTTCAAGAAGTTCTTTAACCAAATCATTTCTTTACCAACTTCTGAAATAGTCATATACTTAGCTTCAATGGTGGAAAGAGTGACACACTTCGAAGTCGAGATTCCTAACTCATAACAATACCATTCAAAGTGAAAAAATAACATATTTTACTTTTTCTATTGTCTAAATCTGCAATAATAAATCCGTATAGAACAATATTATTCTTCTTAAAACAAAGGTCACACCCGAAGTATCTTTCGGATAATGAAGAATCCACCTCACTCATTCTCAATGCTTCTTTCTCAAATTTGCCATGTACCTATTGACAACTCCCATCTGTATAAGCTATATTAGGTGGCTTCTCAAATAAGTGTTTCTAATCTTCCATCCTAAAGGTTAAATCCGCTTAACACTTTTTGAATGTACTTTTCTTGAGATAAAGTTAATGTACCTTTTGACCTATCTCTATTAATTCTCATCTCAAGTATTTGTTTTATAAGTCTCAAGTCCTTTATGTCAAATTGTTCTACTAATTGTTACTTGCATTTATCATTTTCAAGTTAGATCTTACAATAAGTATATCATCAACATACAAGAACATAATAATATAACAATTATTAAACCTCTTGATATAATAAGTACTCGATCCATCTCATATATCTCGAAACCATTATCATAAATAAATTCATCAAACTTTTTGTACCCTTGCTTAGGAGCTTTTTTAAACCATACAAACTTTTCTAAACTTGCATATAAGTTTTTTCTTTTTTGTAACTTCAAAACCTTTTAGTTATACCATATAAATGTCTTCTTTAAGGTCACCATATAAGAAAGCATTTTTAACATCTAATTATTTTAGATGTAAATTTTCTACGATAACAATACTCAAGCACTAGTCTAATAGTAGTCATCTTAACTACATGAGAGAAAATCTCGATGTAGTGAATTGCTTCCTTTTGTCGAAAGTCCTTTACAACGTAGCCTTGTTTTGTATCTTTTACTACCATCATGCTCATTTTTAACCTTGTACCTACTTATTGTGTAAAACCTTTTTTTCCTTCCGGTAACATAGTTAAAGTTTATGTTTGATTCTTCTCGAGAGACCTCATCTCTTCTTTCGACTAACTCTCACTTGACGAATCTTTCACCTGTATTGCTTCGGTAAAGAATTTTGGTTCTTTAGTATCGGTAAGAGATAAATAGTTCAAGAAAGGTTAATAAATTTGAGTGGGTCCGGATACTCTCTCGGATCTCTTTAGCCGAGGAGTAAGAGTTACTCGGTTTTGCCTTAGTTTTAGCTTCTCCATCTCTATCATTTAATTATAAATCCTAGATATATCTTCCTCTAAAATCTCCTTCAAATTAGCTTTCTCACTTGTTTCTAACTCGGTTTCTTGCACTACTAGAATTTATCCCTAGTTTGTCCTTATATAATGTATTTTCATTAAAGGTCAAATCCTTATATCTTATAATCTTTCTATTCCGATCATCCCAAAACGGATAACCAAAATCATCGAACCGTAACCAATGAAGTAACACTTTTTAGCCTTATGATCAAGCTTATTTCTATCATTAGATCTTACATATACATATCAAACATAATTAAAGGTTCTCAAGTGTGAGAAATTTATCTCTCTTTTTTACCATACCTCCTTAAGTAATATGAAGCCAAATAAAACTAAAGGTCCTCTATTTATGAGATAAGTTGTTGTATTCACTACATCAGCCCATAATGCTTTGGGCAAACCAAAATGCAACCTCATGCTTTTGGCTCACTCAATCAAAGTTCTATTTATCTTTTTAGCAATACCATTTTGCTCTAGTGTCATAAGAACTATCTTGATCATTACGATCCCATTATCTAAACAATAATTTTTTATTTCTTTGCTAACATACTCTTCTCTATTATCTAACTTCAAGGCTTTGATCTTTAGACCGATCGATTTTTAACTTCAGCCTTTCACCTTTTGAATGCAACAAACTTATCGCATTTATTTCATAGAAAACAAACTCATATCTTTTCGATGGAGTCGTCGATGAAAGTGACATAATAGCGTAAGCCTTCAAGAAAATACACGAGAGGTTGGTCCCTATACATCCGTATGCATCAATTTCAATTTCTCTTTTTTAAGGATCTACCAAACTTTACGAAATGGACTCTCTTCTACTTTTTATAGATACATGCCTCATATAAGCCAACATCAAAATGTTTTAATTTTGGTAATTTTTTCGTTGATGCTAGCTATTTCAAACCCTTTTCACTCATGTGCCCAAGACTTCGATGCCATTGTATCGAATTACTATCACCATCGAAGTAACCACTACTATTGTATCCCTTGTTATAACAATCATATACAAAGTCTCAATCTTATTGTCACGTGTTACAACCATATTATCCTTTGTTATCTTCTATGATCCACTCGGAAATACTGTTATGTGACCACCATTATCAAGCTTACTCGTAGAAATCAGATTATTCTTGAGATCTAGAATATGTCTAACATTCTACGAGCTTTTGTTGTATTTCATCGACAGTTTTGATACTAACCTCACCTTTTCCTATAATGTCTAGAGGTTCATCATCCGTAAGATAAACCTTTCTAAAATTTCCTATAACATATTTTTGTAGCAAATCTTTACATGGAGTAAAATGAAATGATGCACTTGAGTCTAGAATCCAAGACTTAATAGGACTCGTTTATAATGTAAATTAATGGATTTGTAATTTCATCGGTTGTTGCATATGTAAATTTATTATCCTAATTCTTCCTTTTTTGAATGCCTTGCACTAATTTTAAAAGTGTCATTTCTTGTTGTAATTCAAGCAAATGATCTCTTTACAATTTTTGAATTTTTCTTTATTTTTTGATTTTGATCTATTATGACCATGATTTTAATACAGCTAAAAGTACTTTCCTCTGCCATGACTTCTGCAATTATTTATTTATTTGGTTAAAGCACTTCACTCTAATGCGTGAGTTGGGGAGGGAGAAGAAGGAAAAGGGTAAAAAATAAATAAATAAATAAAATAAAAAATTAAAGCATTAGGTGGATGAAAGGAGAGAAGAAAAGAGAGTTATGCCGGTATGTATTCAATGGAACTAAAAGGATATTAGGGTAGCTTTGGTATTTAATATTAAAAAATGAAAAAGGTTGTGCCAGCAGACTAAAAAGCGGTGCCAGTTGCCTCTCTCTTTTATAATTGCTTATGGCATTCTAAGCTTCAGTTTCAACATAAATAAACTGATATATATATATATATATATATATATATGTATGTATGTATGTGTGTGTGTGGATACAAAAAATGTAACGCATAAGGATACATTTTCATTGCATATTTACCTCCGTTTCAAATAATAATAAATAAAAAGAAGACAAAATCGTGAATCCCATGATGTAATACTCAAAAAAATTAACTGGACAAGGGTTTTTATTCTTAATGTCAATAAAAAAATCCTTTGAAAAACCATTACGCAATAAAAGTATAAAAAAATCCAGACTTTGACCATTGACTTTCAACCAAATCCATTCAAGTCAAAGCTGTCCCCAAAGAGCAGTAATCACCTTAGGGAGCCAAAACTGAATTATCTTTTCATTTTTATCATTAATTTTTCATTTCTCCCGATCACTTAAGGCGGCCATGCCATCTGGTAGCTAGTATATACAGATAGAGCAGTTGTTATCCCATCATTAGAATTCCCCATCAAATTTAATGCACTGGGGGGTGTAAGGATAAGACTCATTAAAGATGACTGACCTACTAGTACTATAAGCAACAAATATTTTGCGTTCTTCCCATAACTATAAACTCAGCACTCAAGCTCAATTAATGAATTCACAATTAATATTTGATTACCCGATCATTATATATGGTTTGCTTATGCATATTAGATAAATAAATTACTAATAAAGCTGCATTTGAGCTTTGATCATGTTGGAACAACATCTATATATCACTATTAAAAGCCTGTTGTCAAGATTGTTTGAAAAAAAAAAAGATTTAGTTTTGATATGGTTGATACTAATCTGATACGAATTTTTTTTATTGTCGAATTAAAAAAAAAACAATTTAAAAATTATATTTAAGCTTTGGATACAACTAAACTATAGAAGCTTGTAAAAACTTTTTTAAGGCGACTAGGTTATAATTAAGAGCTAGCTTGGCTCTTGAATCTTAGGCGTGAAATCAACTAATCAATAGGTTAGTTTATATTTCTCATAATAATAGTACTATTGTGTAAATAATAATAATAATAATAATAATAATAATAATATACTCACATGAATGAATTGTCTATAATTTTTAAAATTATTTACACATCTATATAAGAACCTACACTTAGAGCCGATTCTTACAAAAATAAAAGCATTAGTGTTATCAAAATAATTGGATAATTTGTCCCCCTCTCAAACGCAAACTTGAACATGTTCATCATATAAGTGAGCGTAGTGGAAGTCAAGTCCTAAATCTAAATTAGCCACTTGAAAGGATGTGGTACCCAGCTTCCACATGTGGCACAAATAGCACAACTTGTTGCTGCAACAACTCCCTATCCCTATTACGTAATAGAGTAATTAACAAAAACAAACTAGTACTTTTTTATTTTATTTTTTTAGGAAAGAAGAAAAAGAAACAACTATATAAAAGTATGCAGAACTGAACTGGCTTAGCCGACAAAAGCGGCCATGAAAACCTAAACAAACAAGCATATTGTAAGAGAGAGAAGGGTACCGTCTAACAACTGCTTTCTCCTCTAATACCTTAGATTTCAACACCTCCTTATTGTCAACGGTCAGCAAGCCGATTATTCAATCAAGAAATAAAATCTACACCTCATCATCCTATATATATCTCCTTACTGCAACAAATTTTCTCAACTTCAAAAATTCAATCCTGCCTTTCTTTTTTCCTTTTTTTTTCTTTTCTGTCGAGCTCTGTTTTCTTGTTTTGCGTCATTATCTTTCAAGACTTAATCCAAAATGAGTCCTTCAAAGTACCATTATGGACAAATCAACATGAATGGTCCCCGTCCATCTCCATTGAAGATCAACAACGAATCCCATCTCATTCACAAATCATATTCTTCTTCATTTTCTTCGTCAAATTCTTCATCATCAATATCTATCATAGCTCCTCCTGTTGTTGGAGTAAAACAGAAGCAGCAGCAGCAAAAGAACCAACCGGTTATTATCTATACAAATTCACCCAAGGTAATCCATACGCAAGCCAAGGATTTTATGGCCTTGGTGCAAAAACTCACGGGACTTTCGCGGTCTAATAATCAAGAAACGGCACCTCCTCTACAGGAAAGGAAAGATCATCAAGTTGTTGTTAGTAAGGGTTTAAAATCGGCAAAAGTTAACAGTAATGAAAGAAAGCATGTTGGTAATGATGATAATGAGTCATCTTCAGTTTCAACAGAGGAGAATTGTCACGGGGATGCTGCTGGTGGTGTTGATACTGTTATTTCACCCATTCTTAAGCCACCAAATGCTCCTTACTTTGCTGATGTTCCTCTTTTTACCCCTTCTTCCGATTTCTATTGCGCACCTAGGCCTGTATTTAGATGTCCTGATTCAGTTTTTGCATCGCCAAGGATGGGAAATCCGATATCTCCATCTCTGTTGGAATTCATGAAAGGGCTTCCTGAATATTGACAGAATAAACTAGTTTCTTTGTTCATCTTTTATCTTTGTTCATAAAGGAGGTTCATTCTTTCATTTTTTTATCCTTTCTTGGGTTGACTGTATTCAGTGTTTTCGCATTTGCAGAAGTAGGGAGATCGATCAGCTAGAGATTATCATATGTGAATTGCTATAGAGATTATCATATGTGAATTACCATGTTGAATATTTAATTTAACTCATTATTTGTTAATCAATGCCTCAAGGGAAGTTTGATCTCTCTTATTGTGGAGATGGCATTAGCGATTTATTGCAATATTAATCCATAGTGAATAATTTTTACATTCTTTCAATCTGTTTGATCTTTCTTAAAAGTATTTTTAGCTCTTTAATTAATCATCGCCATATATGTACTGATGTTAAAGCATGTAAATGCAGATATGATTTGGTTTTTAAAGCCTGTCTAGTTGTCTTATAGATATTTTAGTGTTAGGTTGTTCGTATTTATTCACCTAAAATTTGCGGACTAAAATGCAGATCTTAATACATAATAAAGACCATACTAGCTTGGGTAGAAAGAGCTCTAATCATTTAAATAAGTAATCTCAAATTTAGATTCTTATGTATACATAAAATTTTTTGGATAGTTGTATTTGTCTTGTACATCCGATTAAACAATGAGGGATTAGTTTGGGTTTTCGAATCCGAGATACCTTGAAAAACTATACACACACACGTCAAAAGGTCAACATAGTAAATACATGCACCGTTAATTAGCTCTTCCCTTTTTTTTTTTTCTTTTTTTATAGTTTAGTGGCAAAAATTGCCCCCAACACTACAACATTTTGATAATTTTAGATTTTTATTACCAATTCATATTAACTGGATTTTAAATTTTTTTTTTTTTAGTAAATGTGTTTTTTATTCGTTATTTTTAATGGTCACAAGTTGACTATCAATGATCAACTCTTTAACAATTAACATTTTTTTATTTAAAAAAAATTAATTAGCTTAGTTAAAATATGATCTACATAAGATTGTATAGTGGCTAATCATTAAATTTTAAAATTAATAACAATCATAAAAAAATATTCATAATCAATTTAATAATTATGTCAGCATGAATTTAAAAAAACAATACTTCATTAGAAAAAATTTAAAAAGTTATATTAACGACAATGTAGCTAAGACGAAATTTAAATATTTTATTTTTAATCTATTCAATTTAATAATTATGTCGGCATGAATTTAAAAAAACAATACTTGATTAGAAAAAAAATATATACTTTTATTTTTTATTCAAATATATGATTTTTTTATTTGATTATTTATACTTTTTATTTTTTTATAAGTGTTATTAATTTTGAAATCTAAGGAATAGTCAATATTCAATCTTATTTAGATCATATTTTGACTAAGTCAACTAATTTTTTTAAATAAAGACTGAATTGTTAATGATCAAAGAGTTGATCATTAAAAATAACTAATAAGAATACATTTGTCAAAAAAATAATAATTTGAGATCTAATTAATTCAAATCGATAATAAAAATTGATGATAAAAACTTGAAATTATAAAATCTTAATAGTATGGGGTAATTGTTGCCATTAAACCTTTTTTGACCGGCACATTAATACTTTCAACCTCAAGCTGAGAACCTTGCATGCCCTCGAAAGTGATGTGGAATTCCATTTCTGAAAAGAATCCAGAAAGTTCATCACATTAATTAGGTCTTGATTTCTACCTTAATAATAATTCCCAGCCTAACCACTGATAAACCTTTGTAACATATACCAAGTTTGGAGTTGATTTCAGGGTCTTTTTTATCCAAATACGCAAGAACAGATCAGATATTGGTTGATGAGAAAAGAAAATGAATGCAAAATTTGCTGGCAGGAAGCTTTAGCACTGCCTCAATATTTGTTTCTTTTCGGTACGATATAGAGGAGGGTGCCCCTGAAATGACACAAAGAGAACGGAGTAAGCCCTGATACTATGTCTATGAGAGACTGCTACCCTTTTCTATATAGGCACCCAGATTTCTAATTCCGAATCAAATATTTTCCTAGACCTCACAACCTCTCGGGTAGCTTGGTTAGACCAATTGCCATTAACAGTACTAAGAGAAGGCTCTTCTGTCCAATGTCTGAACCCTTGTTGAGTGGTTAGCGTTTTCAGTTACAACTTACTACTCTAAACCACATGGCCAAAGAGCTTTGGTTCGTTTGTCAGATTTAAATTTTCTACTGTCCAAAGATTAGAACCTAGAAGCATTACCTTCAAGACATTTGGATGTAAATTGAAAAAGGATAAGAGTAAGTAATTACAAATGAAAGAATATTCCACCACATTTTCCATCGTCTATCAATCAATTCGAAGATGATGAGTTCGAGTTGTGACTTGTTTTAAGCTGGTCAGACAAGCAGCCGTTGTTTATTGAGATCTAGTTGTTGTTGTTGTTGTTTTTTTTTTAAAAAAAAAACCCAAGATCTAGTTGCTTCATGGCCACTGCTCCATGGAAACACTCTTAGCCCAAAACGTTTTTGAGTCGTTTGACATACCATCTTTAATGGGCTTCGTTCTGATGTTCTCCTTCCTTGCCGTCGTTTGGGTACGAAACTAGTCATCCTAGCGCGAACCAAGCCCAGTTAATCTTTTTAAATAATACCATAATTTCTAGTCAAAATTGAACAAACATACATAATATCAATTAGTAAAATTGGATTAATAGAGTTACAATTTGTTATAAAAAAAACTTATAGTAATAATGGATGCAACGCATCTCCCTCAAAAGATTAAAATATTTCTAAATTCTATTTTTTTTGAAGTTCATAAATCTTTAAAATGTTCCTAATTTTGTGCACATGTAACGCATCACCCCCAAAAAAATTCATGTGAAGCTGGAAATAATCCATGAGCATGATTTCGAATGGAAACAATAGCTAAAAACTGAGAAATATGAATAGAGTCAGCTAATTGTTGTGACAATTGGGAAAAAAATATTATTATAATGAAAACTTTTCATCTTCAAAAGGGTTGTCTAATGGTTAGTGTGTTAATTAGTATGGTGGATAAGGACAGGGATGGATAGGGAAAATTAAAAGAGAAATGACTGATAACAATACATTTATTAAGTTGTTTGGCCAATGAAAAAGACAAATTAAGAAAGTTATTTCCTTAAATTGGAAGAATTGTAAATTACAACTAAAAATGGAAATGAAAATCATTCCTTTTTTTCTTGCTCGATCTTTATTCAATATCATTCAAACAGGAAAAATAAATAAATAAATAAACATTCGTTCTTACTTTGCCTGAAATGTACAAAATTATATGCCATTCGCTCCCTTTTTTCCCTTTTTTTTTTTTTTTCAGTTGAGCTATAGCTCTTCCAGTTTGAGGTTTGAAATAAAAGGTACTTGGAATTTGGAAAAGCACTCTTAACAATTTTTTTCTTTAAGGAAAAAAAAAACACTTCCCGGAGACTTCTTAACTGAGCTTTAACATTGACTCAAAAAATTTCCTCCGAAAGACAATCCATTCTGGTATATTCTGTATCATGAGAAGACATTAGCATCTTTAAGCTAAGTACTTATGTATTTCAGCATAATATATATATATATATATATGTATGTATGTATGTATGTATGTATGTATGTATGTATGTATTCTCTCAGGAGGAAACCAGGACCTGGGTGTTAAAATGGGGAAAATATCTGAGGTGGAAATGTCTTGGTAGGGTTTCAACCAGTAACAAAAAAATTATGTTCTTGTCTTAATTAATCCAAGGGGAAAAAAAAAAAGTTTCCTTTAATCTATTATATTATGAAGTTAAATAATTGTGAGTGGCCAAGTTTATCCTAATCATTTTCCAACCAGCTCATTCATTAGGTGCAACTACTATGTTTGCTCTAGATCAGGAGCATCTGTTTTTCATGAGACAGGGTTCTCCAATAACATGGATAGAACCCACTAAGCGCAGTGCAACCATGAAAAGAATATATCCTTATCTGATATGTCCATAATTTGTTTTCACTTGCTGAGATTTCTCCCAAGTCCCAACCACTGCGATTTTTTTTTTTAAGAACAACCACTTCCTTAATTATCATCTCTCAAACTTGAAAATCAAGACTGTTTTTATGAGATTCTTCCGAATATATCACCATCTGAAAAGAAATTCAAAATTATACGACATCTTTGATTGACTGTGTCCCCAGCATGATTGAGCATAATGCCAACTTTTTTAAAAGTACATCGATCCGATTTATTGAAAAATAACTATAATAATAAAGCAGCTTACCTTTCTCAATGTCTAAACATAGCTAAGATTAGGCAAATGACATAGTTTTGAGTGTTATAGTGATCAGCACGAAACCAAATTTGTTCCCAGCATGATCTTTCTAAGGAATGGAGATGTAATTATCCTTTTTGTCTCCAATACTCAACACGAGACGCATAGATGTTAGGTAAGACCAAGAACAATTTACAGCCAATCATTTGCTGCTGATGGGAATTCAAGAAATCCCTTGTAAAACTTTAGGTCAAAACTTTTGCCCATTTGCTCCTTCATACTTCAATTGAAAATATACAAGCAAATTAACTGGTTAATTATTAATTAACACTGGGACCTGGCAAAGGTAAAATTGACAAACTGGCATGCAAGGAGAGCCAGCTATGCACTATCCAGCTTCCTAGCAATTGCATAACAGGTAAAGATGTGCAAGGCTCTTCATTTGGACCGCATTAAAGACTTTGACATTGTAAAGAGAGTTTGTTTCTGTGAAGCCATTCCAGCATGTGATAAATTATAATCAGCTGCAACATGAGCCATTTTTGTGGTCTTTGCTAAAAGGTGTTGAACTTATCCATGTGATAAATTTATATATATACATGTAAATAGATGTAAAAAGTTTAATATTTTCTGCTGATGTTTTTTCTGTCCATGATCCATCAGCTCTTACCTACATCCATTTCTATAAACATTTGCCAAATGCCATTGAACTGATCAAAAAGTGAAAAACTTAACGCGTAAAAGCATAGAATACTAAGAGCGATGTAAGAATCACTAAATCAAATTTCTTTTTCTTCAGTTACTTATATCAGTTCCTAATCCAGCACTTAATTAGTCGTTTTTTTTTTTGATGGATAAATTCCTAATTACTTGAACAATAAAAGAGTCTATCAGGAAAAGTTAGCACAATCTATTTTCTTTACTTGGAAAACTAGTCTTTTGGATCAAGCCTCGTGTGCCATGTTTTCTGTATTTTCTTTTCTTGTCACTCGGTGCAATTATTATCGCAAGCAAGCATCAACAACTAAAGATTACAAGATTGAAACGCAAGCTAAGCAAACAAATTAAAATATAAGAAAAATCAATGAAAACATATAATGTGGCACCCAGGTTTAATTGATTTTCCTTTTTATTGACTAATAAATAAATATATTTACAGGTAGCAGAATCACATTAATTGACCACTCTGCTATTTTCTAGAAATACATGTGAAATAGGGAATTCTTAACCACATTGTGTCAAACTGACTTTTCACATTCATCGTCAACAATAACGGCATCAGCATCCCACCAAGTATCTACATCAGACTCCGTCACATTGACTAACGGCGAACTGACTTTTCTCATATCACCCACCGTTAACTTACCAGCGACATCATCTCTGACATAAACTTTCTCTACGCCACTGACCCCGACTATCTTCCCCAACATAGGCCTCAACTCTGCAAAAATCTCCGGCATCCGGAATCCAACACGGGTGTCCCATAAACTTAATGATGAATGACCTGATAAATTTGTCTCGGCCGAGACAACCACCGAAGGAGACGCGGAAACAGCGGCGAAATTATCACTTTTGCTTCCAAGAATGGAACATATATTCTGCTCCTCATTAATATCATAAAAAGAAACGGCTGCACTCCTTGAATCGCTGCTATTGTTAAGGTTTAATCCAAGGCCTAACCCCAAATTATCCCAGAGCTTTACCACGTTTTTCCCATTTGTGAAATCAGACAACGAAAAAAAGTCTCCAATGCTGCTGTTTAGTCGTCTCCGGAGCCTAAAATTACCGTTTTGCCATTGGTCATCAATGTAACAATTCCCAGAACCTCTAACACAGAAATCTTGATCATGATCATTAATAGACCACCAGCTTCGTGAAGTTGATGGGGACTCTTCTTCCTGTTCGTCGTCTGATAAGGATATTGATGACGAGCAAGATAAGTCTGTTTCACTTTCGTCATCATAATCTTCTTGATTGGCAATAAGAGATGATGAAGAGATGAAGGGGTGGTTTTTGAATCGGATGATGAGAATCTTGATTCTGTTAATTATGGTTGTGAAAGAGGCGACTAGGGCAAGAATGAGAGCGCCCCATTTCCAAAACCTGTATGCTTGGTGAATTTTTTCTACTCCGGATAGCGCAACAATCTGGGAAAGATAAGTTGGGTTTTGCAGAGAGGTTATGCCTGTCTCGAAATCGCTTATTCTATTGATCACTGGGATCTCCATGCCTGGCTAGCTAGCAACCACTAGTGCAAACACAAGAGCCTGATCTCTCAATCGTTTAAAAATTATGAATTATAAGGTTGCTACTAGGATTGCTAAGATAAAATTTGGATGAACTATAAAAGATAATGAAGAACAAGGAGACTTTTGACTGGAACCTTGTAATCGAAATATTTGAGAGAGATTAGATGTGAAATGGAGGAGGATTGCCAAGGCCAGAGGATTGGGCTTTTAAAGGCAAAGGAGGCAGACGAGTGAGGATAAAAAATTGGTCTTGCGATGTCTTGTCATGAAATCTCTTTTCCGTTTTAAATGATTTTAATTATTATTATTTTTTCAAAATTGCCCCAAACATCAAACATAAGCAATTTTGAATCATGACTGAGTTGTACAAGTAACAAATTAACTAATTTGGTTATACAATAGCGGAGAATTTTATTTTATTAATAAAATAATTAATAATACTTACTCCATATGAAAAAAAAAACATTGAGAAATAAAAGAGAAAGAAATTCATTCCAAGCTTTTGTAGTAATTTTTTAAAAATAAAATATTTGTAGAATAACTGTTTAACAAACAGACAAAAAATAAAAAAATAAAAACATCCTAGGCAGTACTAGTTCTACCTAAGTTCAAATTTGTTTTAACTCTCTTTTCTATATAGCTTTATTACTTTCTTATGAAATAAATATCCATAATTGCTATTTCATTATTATAAAATTTCACTTACTTTTGTATTTACAACTTGGCATTGAAAAAGTTCCAACGAAAAAGCAGTGTCCGAGAAAAAACATATTTTTTTATTAAATTTATATAAAAATATTATATAAGTTATATGAATTACTTGTTTAAAAAGTTAAATGGGTCAAATCTCTTATCAACTTTAAAAATCAATTCCTAAACTTTTAATTTCAGGTTTAACATCTCATGAATTTTTTTTTTTTTTAAGATTTAGCCTATTTTAAAATTTTCAACAATCACTCTCTTCTTTTTTTTAAAAAAAAAAAAAAACTCAATTCCCAATATTTTGATCTGACATTCTGTACACAAATTAAAAAAATAGTTTTATTTTTTGAAAAAAATCCTAGAATGTTTTCAAGGTCGGAATATATATATATTGAACATTAAAAATGTAAAAAAATAAAAATAAATAGAAATTAAAAAGAAATGATCTCAAATTTTTTTGAGAAGTTTCAGATAAATTTTATTGAATGATTGCAATTGCAACACTATTTATGTGATTGTTATTTTTTATAGAAAATTAAATGATTGACTAAATCTTAAAAAAAAAATGTTAAACTCGAAATTAAAAGTTAATGGATTGATTTTCAGATATACTAATTTTCAAATAAAGTTTAACCATTTAGCCTTGAAAAAAAAGAAAAAAAAACCTATACTCAGTTGTAAGTTTTTAAGCTAAATAAATGATAAACCCATCAGTACTTTTTATTTATATATATTTTTTAGAATTATATTTGAACAGCCTTTAACAAAATAAATTTTAATTAAGAATTTTTTAAAAAATACATCATTTAAAATTTTGACCTGATAAGTAATTTAGAAATGTGTTATTCCGACTCCATGAGCTGTTAATTCCACTTCATATTTATTATAAGTTCTATTGATACAGCATCTTATCACTTATTTTTAGTATAACTACGACATATATTCTTTTGATATATTCAAATTTTATTGAAGTATTAAGTTACAATAATTCAAATTCAAAATTAATTCAAATAAAAAAAGAAGTATATAAAAAATTAAGTTCTTAAAATTTTAATCACTCTATCATATTTTTTTTAAATAGATATTTTTTATTGATGGATAATATTTGAAAACAAAAGGAAATTCTTTAACAGGAAAAAAATGCAATATGAAAAAAAAAATCAATGATGTTAAACTTAGTGATGGATAATTTAAAAAGAAGAAGAAGAAGAAGGAATTTGATACCATATTTACAAAAAGGAAGATTTTCTAATTTTAGCTATATTTTCTAAATATAAACATAAAACCAATATTTAATATAATCATTTGTGCAAAATATGATTAAAGATATTTTGGTTTATTTAAATAATAAAAGTGGATTGTGGAATGGGAATAACAAATTATAGAATGAGAATAATATCATCCTAATTAAATTGTTATTTTACTTGTTTTCTTTAAGTCTCATTTATATATTCAACCACGTATTCTTAGAAATAAGAATTTCTTTTCCTTACGCGTTCGTATAACTAGTGGGATTCTCAATTTCATCCCTTTGAATATCGAAGGAGGTGTAGTGCAGGAAAATTGTAGAATAAGTCGAAGAAACATTTTTGGCAGATGACCATTGGTTACGTGGTCTAGATTTTTGCTCCACGTCAGAAAAAAGAAGCAGGCTTCTTGGAAAGAGAGAAAGGATTGAGACTGCTGAGTCAGTACGTAGTAAATTATGACACCATGATAAATATCATTTTAAAAAATAAAAATAATTTAAAAATAATTTTTGTAAAAAAATATTAAATAACATAATAATAATTATAATAAAATATTTTTCTTCATATTCTTTCACGAAGATACTACCCTTATTTTTTTTACATTTATAATATTATTGTTAAATTTATCTCTTTTTGTAACTTACAAAGAAGGTCTGCCGCAAGTACAAGCAATAATTAATGCTGTTGTTTTGTTTTCTGACAGGGTAAGTGGTAAGACGACATGTAATGGGGCTATTGGGTCAGTGATGAGTCATGCGACAGAGCGAGATGATCTTATCTTTTTTTTTCTTTTTTTTTCATTCTCTGCATATTTGATGTATAAAAATTCATATTAATTTTTTACTGTTCTGCTAGGTATATAAAACAAAGACAGGTGATCTTTTTTTTTTTAACATATATAAAAACTCAAATTTAAAACAACTTCTTTAAAGTTATAGAACTCTTAAACTTAAACCAACCATAGTTGATAGATTATTTAATGCTTTCGTTTACGAATAAAACAGATAGGGGGCCTAGTCGCCCAGTTGTCCAAATCTGTGGTGGTAAAGTTAGTGACGGTTCTGCCATTGGAATTTTGACACGCGGCGACAGAGTCATTTGCTTGTTCTTTTGTTCTGTTTCTAGAGAGACTGCCTCCACTCTCTGCGTGACTGTTTTTAGGATAAAAGCATAACCATCTCTAAATTTTAAATCGGTTAAAACTAGTCCTTCAATTTCAAATTTTTGAATCATCCTCCTTCATGCTCTTTAGGTTTCCATCCAAAATTAACGTTTTAAAAGGCACGTGAGAATAACATGTGCTTATAATGAAATAACCAACCTCCTGAGTTAACAGGCCAATTGACCATTTTTTTCATTATTACGATCATGCCCATATAAACATGTAATTTTTTCCATTTTCATCCTAATTATCACCCATCCCGTCTCTCACTCTGTCCTCTTTTGTCGTCCTTTCCTCTCCTGCTCCTCATCTCTCACTCTGTCCTCTTTTGTCGTCCTTTCCTCTCTTGCTCCTCATCTGTCTCTTTCACCCAAAAAACAAAAAAAAAAAAAAAAACGAAGTTACGTACCCAAAATTTTTTTTAAAACACAGTTGTTCATCCCTCATAATTTTTTTTTTTAATTAATTTAAATTGAAACCCATTTGGTTGGGCTTGCCTCTCTCGCCTCCCTCTCTTTGATTTTCTTTCTCCGTGAGTATTGATAAAGATATTTGAGGTAATTAGTTTAAGATTTAATGATATTTATTTCAATTTAAGGATAAGTATTTTTTAGATTGATGATGTATTGTTTGAGCTTCTTTGTATATGAGTTGACTGAATAAATTTTATATGATTGATAATAAAAAGAGAGATAGAAAATGACGGTTGCTCTTTATGCGGCAGGAATTGTGGTTTGATGTTTGAGGCTGCGGTGAGAGTGTAGGGCTTGTGGTGGTTGGTGGTGGTAATATGAGGCAGCGATGGCATCGGTGTAGATTTTCATCATTGGGATGTGAAGGATTATGAAGGGAATCAAATTTCAAAGTCAAGATTGTTTCATCTTTTTTGTTTATAGTGGTCTCCATTAACATGGTGGTGTGAGTGGTTGAATTACTTAAGGTAATTGAGATTGTAATAAATTATCCAGAATTTGTAATTAAAAATATTAATCAAGCACAAGTGGAAGGACATTTTAGTCATTCAATAAATTAGAGGGGCATTTGGACGCCACGTTCATTCTCACCGTTAATTTTGGATGAAAACCTGCATAAACTAACAGAAGGTTCTGATTTAAATCAAACAGAGTTGGGGGAGGACAATTTCGAAATTGGAAATCCAAGTACTGGTTTTTAAACGATTTAAAAATAAAGAAAAGATTATACCATTTAGCCTTGTTTTCATGTCTCACGTTTTGTTATGGTCCCACTTTCCACTACCTTCCACACTTTCCAGCGTCTTATTCTTATTGTGTGAAACAAAAAGCACATGATCATATATGATGATAATATGCTCACCAAAAACGTTTGTGGTGATAGCTGGTCTTCCTTTCATTTCCGCATGGCAACAAAATTTTGTGATCTCACACAATCCCTGGTCCCATAATTTGCTGGCCACGCCACTAACCAATAGTAGGAAAGGAAAAATTCTTGTATTAAGAGAGTAGGAAGGATTTAATTTCTGTAGAAGCTAGTATTCCTGTTGTGATTTCAGCATCTAAACATTGAGTCTGGGTTGGTTGATGTTACATGTTTTTATTGAGTATTAATTGAATTGAACAAAATCAATAATCATTCCATACCAGATCCATTACCTTTCTAATTCCAGCAAAAAAATACAGATTCTCATATAAAAGATATATATATTCATGGTTTTTGATCGAGTAACATATGGATACAACATGATGATCCGTGAAATCCGTAAGGATATTAAAATTGCACGAAGGATTTAAAAATGACATTAGATATTAAGAGTTCATGATTTTTTTTTTCGTGGTCTATCCTGGTTAAGTTTTGTAGCTTCCAATCGTGTTCTAGTTCTGTAGATATAATTAAACCAATAGACCTTTAAGCTTGTGATGATTTGCAAACCTTGGTATGATTGAGACAGAATTTTAGTGGCGCTGAGCCTAATCATCATCACTCAATGTCAAAATTTTCCCCGTAACTTGAAAATAAAATAAACCCGAACCTCAGCATCATAATCAGTCTTGATCGAGTGGTCGGTGATTCGGCGGGAACTTTGTAATGGCTAATATTATATAAGGAAAAAGGTTCTTCCTTTCTTTTTTTAAAGAAAGAAAATGGTTCTTCCTTTGTCCTTGACTCTGTTGGTTGCTAAGCCTCGTATTAAAGAAGCAGCAAGAGATTTCAGAAAGGGTGGAAAAAAATAAAAAAGGGATCGAAGGTGGGTTCCATCTGTTGGTCCAGCATTAGGTAAGAAAAGTATAATTTGGATTAAGTGATCACTATCACCTGCATAATTGTCTAAAATATGATAAATAAATTAAAGTAATTAAAGTTGTTATCAACTATACTGGGATAACACAATATATCCTCCTCATCTTTAAGGAGGTTTGTCTGGTGATTAAAAATATATTTTTTTATTTCGTATTTTTTTAAGTTTAAACTTTTTTATTAAATTTTCTTGAATACATTAGACTGATGTGTTGGTGCTATCTCAAAGTGATCAATTTATTAATACGTGTAAGTTGATTTAAAAATATCTTTATAATCATTAAAAAAAAGGACACCAAATCTTGGAGGGTGTTATTTGGCTTAGAATATGGACAAGGCACGACAAAGTGAAAAAAAAAAAAAAATTCCAAAGAAAAAGAAGTGTCCAAAAAAATTAGATGTTTTGATTAAAATTATGTAAAAATGTTATATAAGTTGTATGAATTACTTATTTAAAATAAATAATTTTATTGAAAAATAGATACTTTCTCTGTTTTGAAATTTTAGTCCTCTTTCACTTTTCATATAGTTTAAGAAAAATATTAATTTTCCTGACACATTAATTTTTTATCTTTACTTTCTTAAAATACCCCTCTATACCATTAAATTTGAGTTAATTTGTTTTTTTTTTTTTAATATGGAGATCATTTAATGTTCTTAAGATCAAGACATCAAATTAAAATATTTGATCCTCCCAAAATTAAGTTGAAATTTTTTTTTCAACTTTTAGAAACATATGAAGATTATTAACAAATCCTAATTTTTTCATAAAATTTTAAGCCAAAAAACTAGTTCAAACAAAAAGGTGCCAATCAAGATTTTTGTCCCTTCTTAATTTAAATTGAAAATTTTTAAAAGGATCTGGAGATCATTAAGCTTCCTAAGTTTCTTGTGCAATTTTATATCAAAAAATTAGTCTCAAAATCAAAATGCAAAATCAATATTTTTGTCTCTCCCAAATTTAAGCTAGAAATTTTTTAGAAAAAGTCCAAAGATCATTAAGGAATCCTAATTTTTTCATAAAATTTTAAGCCAAAAAAATTATCGAATAGTTTTTATTAAGGAATCCTAAATATTTGGTTGGAACAAATATAAAATTTCTCATTTAAGCAAAACAAAATTAGAGCATGCAAGGCAATCTCTAATTTGTCTTGAATGTAATCCTGATATTTTGCAAGTTATAGATTTTCTAGAAAAATGAATAGTTTTCATGTAATAAAAAGTTTTCTTTTAAAAAAAATTATGTGAAAAATATTTGTATGTGTAAAAGGAAAGTATAAAAAACTTTATAGTTATTTAGATCACACTAATAAGAACTTAAGAAAAAACCCATAAAAAGCTTCTTCTTCTTTTTTTAAATGAATGAAATTTCAATAATAAAAAAGAAATCACAACAGGGAATTATCCTGCTCACAAAAGGTTATCTACAACAGATATGCAATTCTAGCTAAGAATAACAGAAATTCCAATCTTCATAGAATTTTGAAACACTTGGATTATCTAAAGCTTCATTGAGAAGAGTTATCCCCTGCAGCCTGACATGAACAGAACTAACAATGCCCTTAAAAATACTGTTAACTTCAGAAATAGCAGCAAATTTAATGACAGTGGGGAAAAATCCATAAAAGCTTCGAAATGTAACTTCATAAAAAAAACACCAAATTTATTTATAGCTTTTGGTTTTGGAAGTGTTGCTGCGTTATGTTTGGAATTTGAAGGAAGGCTGACTTGAAATGTCCTTTTGTTTTTATAAAAAAATAAAATGGCTTAATCATTTGCGAGGAGGAAAAAAAAAAAAGCGCTTGCGCATGGTTCGTAATGATAGACTGCACATCTTGGGTTCTATTCAGCCCAGAAGGTCCATGAGACTAGAAGTGTATTCTGAACCATTTTTTGAATTGTAGGCCGGATATAGATCCACGTGGGCTCTAATGGATCTGTACAATCTTGAAATGGGGGAATCGAACCATTGCAGCCGAATTGGCTCAAGGTTAAGAAAGACTCGAGGATGCAGAATAGATTGGAGAGAGAGGTTTGATCACGAGAGAGTTATAAAAATTATTAATTATAATTTCTTTTTGGAGGAAGTAGGGTATCTGGATGGCCTTTTATGTTGCTGTTTAGCTTGTTGGGATTTTTTTTGCAGAATGATAAGGCAATGCTTCAAACTCCAAAAGTTTTATGGTTAATTAAGGGGTAATAGCAAGTCATTAGCATTTCTATAGTAAAAAGTCGGTGATATGAATTGGCCAGGTAACGTTTCAGGCCACTGTTTTTCATGTTTTAGTTTTAACAAACCGGTTTACAAGCAATTATGTCTTAAACAGAACATTTAATAATTTAGAGTAAATTATAAATTAGTCTATCTTGTTTAGAGAAACGAATTAGTTAGTTCATTTTCTGTCAAAAAAAAACTAACCATTTACTCTGATATTTTAATTTTGTCAATAATTTAATTTTTTAATTAGTTTTTTCTTAGATTAATAATTTTTTTTTAAATTGCCACTCGTTTGATTTTTAGTTGAAGAGAAAGAATAATAATGGATGAAAGTGAAAAATAAAATATCAAAAAAAGATAATTTTAGGAAAAAAAATAATAACCTAACGAAAACTTGATGAAAAGACTGAATTATTGACAAAATTAAAATGCAACGAATTAAATAATTAATTTTTAAAAATAAAAAAATTGATTGATTCGTTTTTCAAAACGAGAGGGATTAATTAGTAATTTACCATAGGAAACATAATAAGTAATTAGTTGGAAAAAAACACAGAGGAATGACATTTTGTTTTGGGATTTCAATAGTATAATATGGGTAAATAACAATGACCCTTCTGATGTCACTTTTTTTTTCTTTTAGTATATTACATAAATCTTTTTTTTACCCAAAATTTAACAATGTTAAATGGAATGACATAAAAAATCAATAAGGATATTTTGGGTATAGAATGAGATTTAGGTAGCATTTTCTAAAGATGAAAGAGATTTCCGTCAAATCTCTTCAAAGTTTTAAATGGTGTTTGTAATTTCACAAATTATTGTAATTCACTGTCACAGTATTAGTCAACTACAATTAAAAACTCCAGCTTTATTATCCTTCCATAACTACTGTACAGAATCCGTTCTATTCCATTAGGTGGATTCTGCATTCCAAGAAGGAAATGGACAGGATATGGCAATTACAATCGTAAAACCTCCAAGTAAGCCATAATGCTGTCCATTTGGGTTCCTTACCTTTCCAAGCACGCACCTGCCTGCATTAACATGATGAACACAATGAGTATATTCCTCCAAAATCCAACCAAAATAAATTAATAGACTTGGGCCCTTTTTTGTATGAGATAGCGGAAGTACTGGGTATACTGAATAATATCTTCAAATTATATTTCAAACTTCCAAGTGTGAACAAAAAATTGGATCCTAAAACGTAACGGCGTATCCCAATCATAAATGAAAAGAAAAATGATGAGACATTGTCGCAATCCAAACTAACCAGACGTAAAGATATAGTGTTCACATGATATGGATTGCTTTATGACAAAACACTACAAAAAGGTTGTTTATTCATAGAGTTCACACCAACCAAGAATCTATATAGATTATTTCCTTTTTTTTCATGTACTAACGAGACAAATACATAATACTGAAATCCAAACAAGAGTTGTCTGTGCAAAGGTTTGTTAGATTGACAATGGGGTATTCGTGTCTCAATCTCTTGACAATTGTTTCGCTTGTGCTTCTGTTTCCAGTGATTCATGGTTGGGGAATTGATGGACACTTCGCAGTCTGCAAAATTGCTCAGGTCTTTAAACTTCTCTTTTGCTCTCTGTGTTTATGTGCGATTGATGTGTGTTTGTCTTCTTTTAGGGATCAATATGTATTTTGCGCTTGTGTTTTTGTGTTGTAACAGTCGCGCTTAAGTGAAGCTGCGGCAGATGCTGTTAAGCAACTGTTACCAGAATATGCAGAGAATGACTTGGGGAGTGTGTGTTCATGGGCAGACCAGGTTAGGTTTCGTTATCATTGGTCAGCTCCCCTGCATTATATCGATGCCCCAGAAGTTTGCAACTACAAATACACTAGTAAGTTCATCTTCTGCTTGTTATGATTATTATCCCCTTTTCTTATGTTCCTTTCTTTCTTCCCAGTTGGTATTGCTTCTAAATCAGACTAGTTTTTTTCTGGTATTAACTGCCTGTAGAAAGCCGAAACCGAATTAGGCGGTTCTGTTTTAATTAGCCATTGCAGCAGGTGCTAAGTTTTTCATGTTTATGTTCAGGGGATTGCGAGGATGAAACTGGAGAAAAAGGAAGGTGTGTTGCAGGGGCAATTAACAATTACACTACCCAGCTTCTTACCTACAGCAGTGGTTCCTCTCAAGCTGATTGTAATGAAAACAAACTGTTGTTCGATTCTTTTCCGTTCTCGATCAATCTTCCGTTCCTGTCATTCATAAATCCTGCTAACGAAATGAGATGATTTATCAGATAACCTGACTGAAGCCCTTCTCTTCCTTTCTCATTTTATGGGAGACATCCATCAGGTGAGAGATAATTGCACGTTTTATTCTAGAATTTTGTGTTAATTGTCGAGTGAATGCTTTTCCCGTTCCTAAATGATGGTAGTATTTTCTCAATGTAGCCTCTACATGTGGGTTTTGCTTCAGACAAAGGAGGCAACACCATCGATGTCCATTGGTACACAAGGAAACAAGTCCTGCACCATGTCAGTATAATTGCCAAACCTTGTTTAAAATGTCTCATGCCCTCAGCCTATAACAAAAATGCTTAACGTTGTACTAATGTCGATGCTTACAGATTTGGGATGCCAATATAATAGAGACAGCGGAGGAAAGGTTCTACAGCTCGAATGTGGATGATTTGGTTGAAGCCATTCAGAAAAATATCACGGTATTCTCCTTCACAGATTTGAACCAAATGAAATAGGTTTAGTCCTACAAATCTGTTTGTTTTCTTCACCTATTCTGACATATAATTTCCTTGTTTTTCTCTATTGCCTTTTGGCAATAACAAACAACAGACTGGCTGGGCAGATTTAGTTCCAGGATGGGAAACCTGCAGCCTTAATAAGACAGCCTGCCCGGACATGTATGTTTGACATCCTTAATTTATTAGGAGACAGCAATTTACGAGGAATTTCTTTCTTTCATCATAGATTATTTTGTAACAATGTCTGTGTCTGTAAAACTCTACTCTGGTCAATAATGCTTTTTTCTTTTTCCCTTTCCTGTTTTACTCTATTTTCAACCCTTACTTGTAATTAAACTTCATTTAAACTGTCAGGATGGACGATGATTAGCCTGAAATTTTGATATTACAATTTGTTAATTTATACATTAATCTTTAAAATAAAATTGTTGGCTTTTTAGATACGCATCTGAAGGTATCAAAGCAGCATGCGATTGGGCATATAAAGGGGCGACTGAAGGGACAGTGTTAGAAGGTTAGCAAAACATTCTTCTGAGGTTTACTGGTTTTAGTGCATGCACTTGTCATTCGATTAATCGGAAAAACTAAGACCACCTCATTGCACTGCAGATGATTATTTTCTATCCCGTTTACCAATTGTGAAATTGCGGTTAGCTCAGGGTGGAGTTCGTCTGGCAGCCACGCTCAACCGCATTTTTCAGTGACTGAATATTTGGTTCTGTGGGCCTTCATGCTCTGGAGTTAGATAGACCATCCTCAAACTTTAAGAGAGACTGTTTTACATTGATTATTTGGGGCATTATCAATGCACTGTACCTAAACTTTTAGTAATACTACATATTGTTTCTAAAATTTCTAGCACTCTGATTTTCTTAAAATGTAGTTTGAATAAAATAAATACAGATAGACATGTAATTGTAAATACTGTCAGAAGCAATACTAGTAGTACAAAGAAAAAGCAGTGCTTTCTTTATATTCCATGGAAATAACAAGTTTTGCTAAGCATGTAGAACTCAACCTATTGATTTTGTGTTGAGTCTAGCGCAGCTTTAGTTTGATACTAATTGAACTGAAAATCACCATTCGCATAGAACGGTTTTGCTAAGCATGTACAATTACATTAAGCTACACAACAGGTACTAAATAATTAAAGCACACTCTCATTATAAGGAGTCACTCACCAGTCGCCACTCTTATATTTGATTATCCTTGGGCACCAATCTCTCACTCGCACTTCTGTTTGTCACACACTATACTCACTCAATTGTTGAATGCTTACACATAGAAGATGGACTATCTATTTATGCAATTGGTTAACAAATCCTTCATTAATCCATGTTGAATGCTTACAAATAGAAGATGGACTATCTATTACAAATACTCTAAAACAAAAGGATGTTTTACTGTTCACGTTATAAACAATGTTTTTCCAACTGGCCCTCTTTTTTTTTTTTTTAAAAGACAATTTAGTGTTAACACCCCCCCCCCCCCCCCCCCCGGCCTTTCTTCAACCTTTTACAAGAATTTTTTTTTTCTAAGTGGTTTGGTTTCACTATCCCGGTAGCAAGTGTTTTTTTTTTTTTTTTTACTTTCACTATACATGTTTTTTCCCCCTTTGCTTTTTTTCTTTTTTTAACATCAATTTAGGCTTTTTTTATTTAATTTTTTAAAATTTTCAGGTTTATTTTATTTTGATCTCTAAAATTTTAAAATAAAAATTTTAATCCCCTAACCGATGCAATACACATAGTTTTTTTGCTTTGTTTTTTTCCATCAATTTATGTTATTTAAAAATCAAATTTGCTTTTTTTTTCATTAATTTATTTTCTTTTTTTAAATTTAATTAGTTGTTAAAATTTTAAAAAATCAATCGTTATTTTTTTTTTACACAAACTGATTATTATATATTATATACAATATTTTTTATATTTATGTTATATATTCTTTTTTTTTTTACTTAGGTGTTCTTTTTATAATTCTCATAAATTTGTATTTTTTTATTTAATTAGGTGTTTTATATCTATCCGTAGCATTGCGTAAATAATTTAAAAAATTAATCTTCTCCTCAAAATTAAAAAAGATTTTTTTTCTCATTTGTTAATTTTTGTAAAAGTCTATCCATTAATTATAACTTTATTTTTTGGAATACAATATAATCAAAATTATATTTTAAAAGTTTTTTTAATTCTTAATTAATATTTTAGTTAAAATTATTATATTTTTTATTTTAAAATAAATTCATAAAGGAGAATGATTTTTCTTTTTTAAGCAGAAAATTTAAAAAAAAATTACAAAAATTAAGTGAATAAAAAATTATAATTAAAAAATTTTAAAATTTTAAAATGATTTTTTTTACCAAACCTGCTGCGTAGCGCGTGAAAGTGATTAGTTTATACTAATTGGTTAACAAATAGTGCATTAATTCATGTTAAGAAGTTGATACATGAATTTATGGTAGAAAGTTGGTGGTAGAAAATTAGTGTATTTATGACAATGTTGATTTTCTAACATATACTGACTTATGAGACTCTTCGTATTAAAGTCAAGTTCTCCTCAAAATGTCATGAATTTGGTTTCGTCGAGATTATTGATGAATGTATCTGCCGCTTGATCATCATTGGGCTTATCGAGTGATTTATTTACCTTATCGATCCATTTGCAAAAATCATCGAGTTTCTCCCTTTAGACATCTTTCTCCTTAAAATTCAAGATGTGCATTTCTTCCTCCATAACTTTTGGCCGCTTGAAATTTTTCATTGTATCCCCATATGTCATTGGTTTCAATACTTGAGTTACTTCTACTAATAATTTTGGCTGCAATACTTTGACTAACACTTACGATTGTATTGAATCTTCGTCGCCAAGTGCAATTTAAGCTTCATAATGCCCAATTGATTTGCAAAGAACTTTCTTCTTCAAACCATCCCTCACTGATTGGACTTGTATGCTCTTCCATCACCTTTGATTCAAATGTATTACTTTCTACCAAATCATCATCTTCATCTAATTAATCACTCTTCTTCTTTCACTGTCTGTATTTCTGGTAATCTAATATATAATTTCTTTGAGAAATTTTCTTCATTCACTAACGTTGTTAATGCAAATGACTCCTTCATATTCCACTCTTCTTTGCAGTCATCTTCTTCATGATTCATTGTAGTTATGCCTCCATGTCGCACTCTTTTTCATTGTCATATTCATCTTTTTTTTTGCTTGATGTTGCAATATTTCTTTCAAGTGACTTTTTATAGAATTGGCAGTTTCGTGGCCTTTCCTACCACAATTATAGCACTTGATACATTCTCTCAATATCTTTCATATCAGCCATCTTGATTATTATATTGTTGTTGATGTTGTTAGGATCTCCTTGAATTTGAAGTTCCATCTTGTCATCTCCTTAATTATATTCCCTCTACTTTCTTCAACCTTTTTTTTTTTTTTTGTTAATATAACGACCTTGAGGTCAAGCTTTTCCTTTATTACTAAATAGTGTCTCCTCATTTTTTAGTGAAACTCCAACAATCTGTATGGCTAAAGTTTCCTGATTGGTCAATAGGTTCTCCAAATCTTCAAGCGATGTTGGACAAACTGTTCTTGAATTATCGTGATAAAACTTCTATACCTAGATTTTAACCCATGCATGAATGATGATTCTCCTCACTCTGTCATTTCTAATTTTAGATTTTGGATCCAAATTAGAAATCTCACAACAAAGAAATTTTACTTTCGTGAAATACTCATTGATTTTCTTATCGTGTTATGTGATAGACATCAACTTATTCTCCAGCAGCTGAAGTCTCATATTGTTTTTTGAGAAAAACAAATTGTGAGAATATCTCATGCTTCTTTTAAGTGTGATGGTATTCTTAATGTGATCCAATTTCTCCTCCTCAATGGCCACTTTGATCACGAATATCGCTTTTCTTGCTTTTATTTTTCATCTCTTAAGTGAAGCAACCTCTTCTTATTGTGTAGCCTCGCTTTCATTGACTATTCCCCGTAAATCTTGTCTTGTAGATATGACTCCATGCATGTCTACCATGTAAAATTATTTTGTTTGTTGAGCCCTTTAATACTTTATTTTACATTGAGATCCATCATCATGACTTGGTGTTGTCTCCTCACAAATCATCATTGTTGGTCCTAGACCAATAAATCTATTGTCCCTGATTGTAAGCAAACATGATCTCTTCTACGTAAAATCTCGATCTTTGACCGATAAACTTCACAATTCTTAATTGTAAACAAATAGAATTGACTTGCTTAAACGATGATCCTTGACCATCAATCCTAGTGTATCCATTTGACTATTAAGCTCTAATACGCCGTTTCATATTGTTAAATTTTGATACCACTTGTTGAGTTTAGTACAGTTTGAATACAAATTGTTAAACTGAAAATTACTATTAACTAAGAATAGTTTTTGTGAATGGTAATTTATACCATTAAATATTACAAACTAGTAGTATAATTACACTAAACTCACACAATACTTACTAAATAATTATAGCACACTCTCGTTATAAACACTCACTCACCACATGTTATCCTTAGGTACCAATCTCTCTCTCACTTGTGTTTATCACACACTCAATTGTTGGATGCTTATAAATGAAAGAACTACGTATTTATACTAGTTGGTTAACAAATAATGCATTAATTCATGATAAGAAGTTAGTAGTAGAAAGTTAATGCATTAATTTATAATAGTACATTTATCGTAGTGTGGATATTCTAACATTTTGATCATCCACTGCATTTAACATAACATCGAAAGGTTGATCTTCGTAAGGCGTTCACTGCAACACCATCATTTTCTTTAACACATAATTTAAAGCTGGATCATAAAAAATATGTATACATATATATACAAGAAAAAGCGATATGTAGTCTAATTCCAAGTTGCCACATAGCATACTTCATTTGTCATGGCTTCTTCACGACAAGAACGGGGCACTTTGCATTGTGAAGGCAGTAATTGCTCACGCTTCCCAGGATAGCTCTATATAAAGATGTTGGAATCAGAATCCAAAAATGTTATTTGAAGTCAGCATAAGAAATTAACTTGTAGAACATGTAAAATGTTAATTGTGACCGCCATTTGTCAAAAAAAAAAAAACAAAACAAAAACAAAAAAGAGAGAGAAAAACCCACTAAAGCGTAATCTGGATTAACCAACAAGTGAAAATGTTTCTATATACTGTAGCTTCTAGTGAAGATTCAGACTAATAGAAAACATTCTAATAAGTTTTCACATCCTTATTTAAAAAAGTAGAAAAGAATACATGTATGGTTATATGAATGTAACTCAAATTAATGTTAAAAAGGCACTAAAACGAACAGGCATTTTAATGTAGCTAATCTCTTGCTACAATAAATAAACTACGTCATTTTAAGTCTATTTGGCTTGAAACAACATGGTTTTTACCAAAAAGTGTAAGTAATTTTTTGAAAATTAAATGTTTTTTTTTTTTAACACTTTGATGAACACAAGTGAGAGTTCTAATTGTATGAAAAGTGTACCTTTGTTATAGTTTGATCTTTAGAGTTCTGATTAATACTAAACAATTCTCATTTGTGTTACAACAAAATTCTTGAATGTTGGGGAAAGAGAAGAAGGTTCAGTTTGTTGGGTATCTAGGATGCAATATTAAAACGTGTTTTGAAATTCAAATTGATTTTTTACATGTCTTTGAAGTGATTTAAGGTGAAAATAGTGTTAAAATTAAGTGTAGAAGGTAAAAAACAGCAGCTTTTATATGTTCGATGATCAAATGATCTTCGAAAGTTGTAGCACAGTCGGTGGTAGTGGCCTGGCAAACAACGTGTCATTAGCATCTTTTTTTTTTTTTTTATAATAGTTGTGCTGCACTTTCAGTCCAAGCTCGCATGCTTCATTATCTCCAGGTCCATTTACATAGGCCTGGTGGGTGCTAGCCCAGCCTTTTTTTTTCATTATTTATTATTAATTCAACATAATTTTGTTCCCTCAATAGTTAATGGTTATTTTTAATCTTGTTATAGACTCAATAACTAAAATTAAACACTTTCTCTTCTAATTTGATCTTTAATAAATAAATAGGTAATTATAATTTTTTTATTGATCAAAATCAAACATTTTCATAGGATACATTTAAACTCAAACATGAAATATAAATATTTTATTAAATACTACGCACAATTAATATGGAATAATTTTCAGATTTTTTAAATTATTTATGATATTAAAATATATTAGATAGACTTATTTGTTGCGTGGGTACTATACTAGTATATTGTTTGCCGAAATCTAAAAAGTTAAGCTATTGGGATTAGCCAATAATAAATATTTTCGCACCCTCGTCACATTTTCTTCAGCAACTTTTAACAGTAACCATGTTCATAAACAACAAAACAATTCTGTTTTATCTAAGTCTCAAAGACACCAACCGGTTGATAATGTTTGGTTTCAAGTTCGTGAATCTGCACGCCAAAACTAGCTAGTTCTTTGTACATTTTTTTTAATGTGCACCATCATCCTATAGTCACCAGTAGTGAAATTTGTACGTTGCAACATCAGAGAGGTAGCATTTAATTAAGCTACTGAGGATCGAACCAGATATAAAACTGTAAAATTAAGATAGGAAAGGATTAACCTTTTGATCGTCCCACGGCCACGCACCCCTAAAACAAGCAGGCTAATATTGAGCTTTTCAACTACTTTGCATATGACTGTTTGGGGATCACCCACCTCCGTGAATGTCACTGCATCAACCTGTGAATAACAAAAGTAAAAAATATAAGCCCTCATTTACACACACTGGCATGCCCAGTAGGATCATATGCAAATTCAGGCTTTGATGTCCTACACGGTTGTGAAACAATTGAATTTCATGCGAATCAGTATAGAATAGAGAAACGGTAGCATACTCCTCGCCTAGCACATATTTCTTTAGCTTTCTCCAGCAAAGCAAACGCGAGCTTCTTTTGCTGCTCTTGGACAGTGTAAGCATACTCCGGAGCTGTCACTCACAACATAAACAATTTGAGAGTTCGTTTCCAACGTCCAGAACCCAGATGTTGGTCTATTTCTCATAAGGTTCTAAATCAGTCAATCAAAATTTTGGTAACAAAAAGAAAATACAGGAGGATCCTTACGCAAAAACACACTAGGATTACGGAATAGTAGATTTGAAGGATCCCTCTGGCCTCTAGTCTTAAAAAACATTTCTATGTGGACTCTGCAAACTCCATGGACATCTTTTGGTTCACTCAGGATTTGAATGAAATAAGAATCTCCTTTTGATTTCTCAACAATATCCTTTGGTTCCGCGAAAACCAAAATCACAAATCCAAAAGAAATCAAATTCTGTAATTTCAGATTATATATATGTAAAAAGGGACACTTACTTGCTGAAACAGAGCAGTACATGCGAGCAGAACCGAGAGCAGCAGCAGTAAAAGAATTGTTACTGGGAGGAGCCAGTGCGCTGAAGATAACTAGAGGTGATCTAGTGATAGATTCCTTAAGGTTGTCAAGAACCCACATGAGAGCATAGTGACTGTACTCACTATCTTCAATGGCAACCATGACTTTCGTCTCAGGTAGTGGTCCTTCATTTGCCATCACTTCCTCTGCCATTTTCTGGGGATTAAAGCAATTAAACACAAAGAGATGCAAAAGTTCACAATTGATTTTGGAGATAATGTGATAAAATATGCAAAAGTCAATTGGCATGTCTGTTTAGAATTCAGTGTTGAAGACAGAAGCTACTAGTCGCTTCTGACGGTGGTGAAATGCTGGTAGGAGAAACAGGTGGCGGTATCTTTCTAGGTCAAAACGGCCAGTCAACTATCAACTTGTTCTGTACATTTGACACGTGGAAACAGACAACTTTTCATCGTGAAGATCATGAATCCTGCTTTCGGATAAATTTTATAATACACAAAGAGTAGCTAGTGGCATATACAGTGGTTACTCTTTGGATCCACTTTAAAGAGAGAGATAGACACACAAAAAGAGAGAAAAAATATAAGAGAGAATAAAAAATTTGAGCGAGACATGAAATCTTCTTATCACTTTTGATGGATATAGATGTAGTTTCTCTTTTTTATGTGTCTATCTCTCTCATCAAAGTAGATATAAGGAGTAATTACTATACATGTCACTAGCTACTTCTTGTGTATTATAAAATTTTCCCCTGCTTTCGTACTTAGCACTTTATCAACTGAATATACAGGAATCCAAACATTTTCTCCTCGGAAGGCGTCAGAAAATTCCTCCAGAATTCTGAATATGGTGCACAGAAATCTGCACCAAATAGTAGGATATTCACAATATCCGGCTCAACGAATTGAGATACGATCGGAGGTTGTTTTGGCAGATATGATTGAATTTTATTGAAACATTAAACCATTTCACAACTTATTGAATCGGATATTTTAAACATACGAGCATAGTTTTAGGCAAAGATATTACTATTACCTTTATGTGTTGATTGGTAATCAAGAATAGAAATGGAATGAGAATCAAAATGAGAATTCAAGAATCAAAATGAGAATTAAGGAATCAAAATAGTATTTTTATTTTCATACTATGTTCGGAATACTAATGAAGAATCGGAATGCAATTTAAACTTTTTAATATCTAATTTTTTATACAAATAAAAATGATGATTAAAAAAATTATTTTATTAAACTATGATGGTTGTAAAAATAATAAAAGTGATGATAGTGATTGTGGTTATAACAATGGTGGTTCTAGTGGCGATGATGATAATGATAATGATTACAATTGCAATGGTTGCGATGGTGAGTGGTGATGGTGGTGGTTAATAGATAATAAATAAATAAAGTATATTATTATTTTGAAAAAAATATTAATTCTCATTTTTTTTTATTTCCATATTTTATATGAGAATGAAGTTGTGTATAAATTTTTTATTCTTATTTTCACTCTTTATTTTTATTCTCATTTCATTCTTTTTAACTAAACAATTACTAATGTGAGAATAAAATTTTTATTTCTATTCTCATCATTCTATTTTTTATTACTAAACAATATCTTAGGGACATGAAAGCGCTCATTCTTCAACCTTTTATTTTTCCTTGAGGATTCCTATTTGCACATGCTCTCAACTTATTGCTCTAAAATGTGTAAATTATACTTATGGTTTGAAATATTAATTATGTTTTTTTTTTTAACGAGCTTAACATTGGAATACACACATATAGCATGTGATGTACAGAAGATTCTCTGACTTCTTATATCACAAACAGCTTGTTTGGAATCAATTATATACTAGAATTGATTTTAACTATTTAAGTAGATCGAATTGATTTGATTTGCTAATTGAATTTTTATGCTTGGAATATTTTTTTTAAAATTATGGAATTCATTTTATTTGAGTTAATAAAATTACGTCATTTATCCAACTTGCCTTTCGTCTAAAATAAACTTATTCCAAACATATGTGTAAGAGAGAGGAAAAAAAAAGAACGTTATTGGGATTAATTTTTAATGGATTAATTACGAAGCAAATTGCACTACTTTGAATGGGTTTTGCAAATATATATATATATATATATATATATATATATATATATATAGTTTTAATGTTACAGGATTCACTTATATGTTGCTTAAATTTTTTGAAAAAGTTTTTGTACTATGCTTGATGGTCCTCTACTGAAACTAATGAGGATTAAAATGAATTCTTTGAGAAAAATCTAAGGGAAGCAATTGCGCCTCCTCGTTCTCCATGCAAGTCTCTGCCCGTAGAGAACAATAATTAATCCACATAGCACAAACTGCGACAAACCAAAAATTGATGAGATTGCTGGATTAATTTATAAGTGACCAAACCTCATGGTATTGCAACAGTAGATGGCTGCATTGTTTCGCCCGAGCAAGCATCCCATTTGTTTCTTCCAAGGCAAAGCCGTTGCTTGACAGTTTAATCAGAAGGTTATCTTTACTCTCTCCGTCTAAAAGAAATTCTCTCAGTCTATTGTTCTTTCCATATAGATTCTTAATTCGAGCATTCTTATCATTTGAAGCTGATAACTAGCTTGTTTTGTTCTCAAAAATCTTCTGATTCTAATGGCATCCATTGTGGATGGTATCACCGATCGATGAGCTTTGCTGGCGAGGAGAAATGCATAAATCGCAATTGAACTCTCGATCTTCTCAGGCGAAGAAGAAATCAATTGTCCATAACGATGAAGGAGGCCAGTAGTAATTAAAGTCGAAGGTTGTGCACAAACTGAGTAAGCTTGCTAATTTTGACGATGATGGGAGTGCTTACATGCTCTTTAGGTCAAGAGTTTTAAACTTGATTAGGAACGCACTGAGGCCAAATGATCAAATCAAATTGGACCGAAATAATTCAGTCTTAATTAATTTTAATTGTACTTTGTTTTAGTTGTTTTATTTTATCTTTATTCATAAGGATTTTTATTTATATTTAAAACATATTTAGTCTATATTTGTTTAGGAATCCATATTTAATTTGGACTAGGTTAATTAGTCCTTATTGAATTTGAATTGAATTTAAATTCAAATAGATTTAGGTTATTATTTTATCTAAATTGCTGATTTTTATACTTAAGTATTAAACATTTTTATGTAATGTGAAAAACAAATTTTTGATGAATTTTAAATAAATTTTGTGAAAACTTTTTTTCTAATATGTCTTATTTTATACTTAATTTAAGAATGTTCTTTTGTATTCTTTTTACTGATCAATTAAAATGATACTATTAATTATTATTTGTTAAGATTGCAATAAAGTTTTAACTCTCATTAAAATTAATTAAAATTTAGTTATTTTGTGTCAGTTTCAACCAACACATACTTTAGGATTAGTTAATTTTGGTTATTTTGAAATTTGTTATTCGGAATGATTAATTGGTAATTGTTACTTGGGATTATTAAAGAATTGGTGATTGATGGTTCGATTTATTTGTTGATTATTGTTGCGAATTTTCTGTATTTGTTGCTTGTTGGTTTCGGCTTCCATTCATCTTCACATGTCCGTGTCATATTTAGATTCTAGGGAACGGTGGTCAAGCAATTGTAGGGACAGCTTTTGAGCTTGATAAAATGAAGAAACCAGAAACGTTATTGCGTCTCCAACAAAAACAGAATGGTTGCCACGTGTACTTTACCTATGGGTTTGATAAGTCAAGGACTGGGCCGGTCAGTTTGTCCATTTTTGCTCTCTTTCATTTGGCCCAAAGGATATAAATTTTTCACCGTATCTCCAATGAAAAACCTGGATTTCAGTTAATGAGCTAAGCCCGCCTCAAACTAGATCCGAAAAGAAATAGATGAAGCCCGACAGGTCTCTAATACGACTTCCTCTCACGTCGTCTCTTCTAATTCTAGGAAGGGGACGGAGTTTGACATGCAACGATCCTATTTTGAACTTGATGATAATGCTCATTGGAAGAGCCTTCTTTTTCAAGTACTATTAAGGATGAGGAAGCGTTAGATCTCTGTGAATTTGTTATTCGGATGGTGATATGGTTATCAAGGTGTCCAAAGATATTGCTATTGAAGGTGCTCATGATTGAGCTTACAGGTGCCAAAAAAAAAAAAAAAATCCAAAGATGAATGTGATTACTGCTGTGGTGAACTCTCTCAGTGAAAGTTGTGCAAGTTATTTTGAATATACTGAACCAATTCTATTTTCTTTTTAGTTTAAAAGCAATCCCTCCAAAAGTGTGTTGTTTTGCGCTGGTGTAGATGCTATTACACCAAGTTTTATGCAGGTTTCCTTTGGTTTCAAGATTGAAAGGTTGCCTATCAGATATTTGGATGTTCCTTTGATCACTAGGAAGCTCAATTTCAATTACTGTAAGCCCCTTCTTGATCTTATCTCTTCAAAGCTACAACATTAATTGGACTACAAAATTGCCTTCTTTTTTTTTGCCGGAATTAAGATTACCGTTAGTCTCCTGTATAAGTTCAGTATCCAGAGTTATTGGTATTCGATTTTCTTGCTTCCTTCTGGGGTTGTTAAGTGTCTTGAGCGAAAGTGTAATATTTTTTTATGGAAGGGGAATGAAGGTTCTGCTTGTGGAGTTAAGGTAGCTTGGAATAAAGTGACTTTGCCTAAGCACGAAGGTGGCCTAGGGAACAAAAAAGTTAAAAAGAGTGGAATGTTGTATCTATTCTAAAATATATCAAAGTCTTTTTCTTAGAGCTATTTTGCCTGGATTTATGCATATAAATTAAGGGATAAAAGTTTTTGGAGCTTAATGAGCACTAGTGATAGTGCTTGGTATTGGAAAAAGCTTCTTGAAGTTAGAGATCTGGCTTGGGATCAAATTCAATTTGTAGTTCATAATGGCAAGCCTATACATCTCTGGTGGGATAATTGGCATCCTATTGGTCTATTAATTAAAGCTATTGGTCCTAAAATAATCTTTGAATACTGTTTAATCATTATTCTAAATTGTGTGCTACCATTAAAGATGATGAGTGGTGCTGGCCTAATGCCAGATCAGATATAATGGTTGAAATTCAAAAAGCAATTTGTGGTGCAAGTCATCATGCTCCTTTGAATGAAGATAGTGCTATTTGAAAAGAGAGTTCTAATGGAAATTATTTCTTTACCGGAATGGCCAGGAGATTATAAGGGAGAGAGGTATGAGAATTCACTGGCATAAACTGATTTGAAGTTCTCTCCATATCCCATGAGAGAGGTAATTAACTACCATAAACAGGTTTAGGGTTCTCTCCATATCCCAAGACATGGTTTTATTGTATGGTTGGTCATACTTAATAGATTATCAACTAAGGTGAGATGGTTTAAGATGTATAGAAATATTAGTGCTTGCTGTGTTCAATGCGCATGGTATTAGTGATGAGAATCGTGATTACCTGTTTTTTGATTGTATGTATTCAAAAATTGTTTTTGCTAAAACAATACAGAAGTGTGATTTTGTTATAATTATTGGTAATTGAATAACAGAGTTTACATGAACTAGAAAACACTTGCAGAAGAGATCATTTCAATATGTGCTGGATAGGATTGCTTGGAATGAAGCTATATGGTCATATAGTTCATGGCAACAATTAATGCTTTATCGCTCACTACGGAAAAATAGGTTTCAGCGACGGATTCAAAAACCGTTGCTGATACCTTTTAAAAAAAATTTTGTTCATAATTTGCAAAATGTCACTAATTTTGTCACATATTAACGACGATTTTAACAAAATCGTTGTTAAATTCACAATCAAATAGCAACAACATTAGATGTTTTAAAGATGAATTAGCGATAGTATAAAAAATTATCGTTATTTTTTTAATAATAAAGTTTTTCCAGATGGTTTTATACCATCACTAAACCGTCATTAAAAAATTTTAGCAATGGGTTTTTTGGACTTGACCATCGAGTCGATTTTCTTTTTTTGGGCGGTGCCTTGACGGTTTGATCAAGTGAATTTGTCAATGGTATCATATAAGATGTACAAAACTAAGTTGTTGGGAGAAGTTGTTTTGAACTGTAATCCAACTGCTATTTGTAACTAGCGGAATTTTTCCAATTTTTTTTACTTTTCATATAAAGTAAAATATTAAAATTTAAAATTGATTTTATCAATGATATCTTCATTTGTCAAATATCAATAGTAATAATAATAATAATACACAAGGAAATAAAAGAAAAAAGAAAAACCAATTGGCTGTTGTAATCAATAGATGTGAATTAATATTCCAAACGTGGAAAAAAAGATTGGTATTTTATTTTATTAATGTGACGTTCAATATTGCCTTGACCTCTCAGAGCTTGACGTATCTTTTTAACATTTTGTGTTGTCATGATCAGTTGAATAACTATAATAACTCAGCATTGCCGGGAAAGAAAGGCAACACAAATGGTGCCACCAAAATTTGACTCCTGATTGCATGCCATGTATAGGACAGCCTAACTGCCGAAATATTTCACTCCTTCCAATGTTTTGCCCTGCACAATACGTTGATGACGGGGCATTTAGTCAGGGCAAATAACCATGCTAAGATAAAGAGACAATTTTAAAGCTTAGCAATATTTAAGTGCTGCTTGGTAATATAAAATAAAATGATGAAAAATAAAATAAAAATAAAAGTTTTATCCTAAATTTATAGGTGTTTAATTAAAAAAAATGAATTAGGAATCAAAATGAAAAATTAAAATAATAATTAAATATAATTTCATTCTCATAAAAAGGGTCCGAATAATAATAAAAATAAAAATAATATTTTTTTCAAAAAGAGTGATATATATATATATATTAGTTCTACTGCTATTACTAACACCGCAACTATTAATTGTGATGTTAATAAAAGAAATTTTTTAAAAAATATTATTGTTATTATTCTATCGTCATTTTTCATACATAATTATTATTATTTTTATTATATCGTCACTATCATCATTGATGAAAGTCATAAAAAAAATTCAAAATCGTTATTATTATTATTATTTCATCAATTTTTTTCTGCTACTACTATCTCCATTGTCACAACAATTATTTCTATCATTTATTATTATTATAATTGATAAAATTAATTTTTAATTATTATTTTTAAGCAAATATTATTTTGATTTTCTAATTTTTATTCTAATTCTTGTAATTTTTATTTCATACTTTTCAATCAAACTATACTTTGTTTTCTGAAACATGAATCCTGATTCACATTGTGAAACTAATCATATGTTCTGTTCTATCTTTTATCTTTTGTCAGAAGCAGTAACAATACCTTTCTTTTTTTATTCCTAGGTGATCAGAGCACCTGAGCAATCATGTCAAATTTAGCCATAGTATTCCTTTTTTTTTTTTTTTTATGTTTAAATGTTAAAAATACTTCCTTTTTGGATTGCAAAATGTGTAATAAAGACAGTTAATTTGCTTTTTTAAATTGTCGATCTTGTTCTTCAATGCAATTGTTACGGAAAGCAGTTGGTAGTCTAAATTAAACCCATTTCTTGTACTGATCTAAAAGCAAATTGAATTTAATCAGAAGGATATAACTACCAATCATCGTTGCAGCTTAATTTCTTACATAACCATGTCATTCATGTAATGACAACAAGAACACCATATCGAATATTGCCCAAACAATTTATTAATTAACCAATAATTCCATGTTGAAATGCACTAATGCCTTTTCATTCTGGTTTCTTCACAACAAGGACAGTGAACTTGGCATTGCTTAGGCAATAGCTGCTCTGACTCCCCAGAAAATCCCTGGATCAAAACAAAATCTGATTTTAGAGCCTGTGATGAAGTTTATTGAACAAATTTCGTTTTTATTGGCACCCATCTGAATGATAATCTATATTTTGAGGACGAGGAATTAAGTTTTGGATGACAGGTTAACATCATCGTACCCTTTTCAGCATCTAAGAGACATGTGACTGGTAATTGATTCTATATGGCTGATGTCATTGGGACATGAATTAGTTGTATGTCATAATCTCACGAGAAGGCATATTCATGTTGATGCAGTAACGCATCTTGAATGGAGTCCGTACATACCATTCATGAGATTTACACAGATCCAAAAAGAATTCGTTGATAAACTGGACCATTCAAACCAGATTACTGAAATGATTTTTTTGAAGTTAAAAGGAAACTAACCTTTTGAGAGTTCCATTAATGGATGTGTTACCGACCACTAGTAGATTGATTTTATTCTTTTGAACAGCACTGCTTATGAGCTCATAAGGCTCCCCAGCTTCTGCGATTATCTCTGCTTTCACCTGTAAGGACAAAAATGACACGAACTAATGAACATATATACATACATCCTGCACTGTTGACAGCAAGATTGCTGACAACACGTGAATACAAATAGAATACATGCGTTCAGCTTTACTACTCCATTGATTTTTTAGATGAAATTCAGATTTTTGTAAATCCCTGAACTGAAATTTAAATAAACTCCTGGAGAAATTTATTCACTCACTTTGTCAGAAGGAAAAAAAAAAAAAGGAAGCAATTTATGCACTTCTGTTTTCTTTCAAATCCAGAACATTTTGGCTTTGGAAAAGAAATGGTGACTTGAGATGTAGATATGGTATATGGAATCAAATTCAAGATTAAATTCTTCTATATTAGTTTCATCTTTCATGTCAACAAGTCAGAAGTAAATGACCCCAGATATAACCTGAAAGAAAGAGAGTGATCCAGTGGACATACCCCTCGACTAGCACAGATATTCACAGCTTTCTCCAAGATACCCAATAAGACCTTCTTACTCGTTTCTTGCATGGCACCGATCAAATCTAGGGGTGCCATGAAAAAATTTGTGCTTGTAAATAAACTGTAACCCTGCAATCCAAATAATACTACGCAAAAGCATAGCTACGTCCTAAAAAAATTAGAAACAAACTTTTCAAATCAAAATGCTATTTATACCAAAGGAGAAGAAATATTAATACAGTTGAACCACCAAATTCAGAAACAGGAATGTAAACTAGAAAAAGAACAAAGAAGATCGAGAAAACTAACTGGGCGAGACTGGACAATACAAGGCAGCGGTGCCAAGTTGTGCCCCATATGCAAAGTTACAGTTAGGAGTAGGTAGCGCAGCAAAGATGACAAGCGGTGAGTCAGTAATGAATCCTCTGAGATGATCAAGTACCCACATGAATGCATGATAACTGTACTCACTCTCATCAATGATCACCATCACCTTCTTATTAGACCCTTCTATTTGTTCCTCCATTTTTCACAAGAACGAAAGCAACTCCTGATTTTCTAAGCAGGCTAGACTTTCTTGCTAGATGCACCTTAACTTCAGAGTTCAGACTATTTCTATTTATATCGAAAAAAAAGGTTCAAATTTTTTACTTCATTTTTACAATATTCTTTTTAAGTTTTAATGATAACTTAAAAAGAACTTGAATACATCAACTAGTCACCCCGCACCTCTCAATGTTTTGATACCCATTGATTTGCTACTTTCTTGTTGCTTTAAAGAAAGGAAAGCATATATATATATATATATATATATATATTTTTTGTTGAGAATGATCTATTTAATCATTTTGATAGGAAAATAAATTTCAAATTAATGATAATGTTCGATCAAGATGTGCTCTGGTGGTAAGAAATATGTCTTGGTTTGACAGAGACTAAGATTCAATTTTCGTTATTCATAAATAAATAATTATAATTATTATTTAATGATATCAGACTTAAGTTAATTTGATCTAAGAAATATTTTAGTTGTTGATAAAAAATTAAACATATTTTGATATTTATTTAATTTAAAAAATGATTTACCTAGTTTTAATTGATATAAAAATTAATATAAAAATATTATATTACATGTAAATATTAAAAAATAATGATAATGCTAATGTCAGATCATGCATATAACACTATTGATATACAGTTTTTTTTTTTTTTCGTTTTTTCAACTTCATAATTTTATCATTGATTCATTGAATTGTAATTTTGTTTATGTCCCATCAGGTACTAACTTGCCTTGACGGCAATGATCGTCTTGTGAAAGTCAAAATGAGTACCAATCAAGATGATTCGTGAACAGAAAACACGCTGGCTTGTAGGACTTTCTTACGAAAGATGGGTAGCTTTCAAGCGTGACTAGGTTGTGCCCACTGCAGTTCTGTTATTCCAACCACCACAATAATCAATTAATAATATATATATATAGGGGTGGAAATTGTGTCTTACTGTTCTAGCCATTGACTAAATATGCACGTCTTTGTTTTTATGATTCCTGACCGGCATTCTTTTATAAATCATGACCAGTGAAATATAGTGTGATATTCTCAATGAGTGCAAATTAGGCTTAGAATTAACTAAATAATTAACTAAATAAATTAAAATAAAACGATGATTTATTATTTCAAACATTATTCACACATTAATATTTTATTATTTATTGATTTTTTTATATTTTGATTTCTAATATTTGTCAAAAAATATTTCGATCCACATTTTCATTTGTTCATTCATTTTGATCCCTGGACGAGAAAAAAAGAAGAGAGAAGAGAGGACGGGAGGAGAGAGAAATTATCGGCCAAGCTTATTTAGGTCACTCCGGTTGGCTTGCCAACCAGGTGCCTATCCCCCCAACCTTTTCTTTTTTTTTTTTCCTTCCTTCCTTTATATATTTTAGGTTTAAATTGTTTTTTTTTCCTTCCTTCCTTTATAAATTTGAGGTTTAAATATTACAAGTTTTTATTTAGGAATGCCTTAAATAAAGAAAAATAAATCATGTTTTTTAATTAAATAAAAAATTTTAAAATGATTTTGTTCTATCTACCTATTGTGTTGCGTGGATAATTTCAAAAATTAATCATCTTATCATCATTAATTAAGAAATTTTTGTCCATTTATTAGTTTTTATAAAATTTTATTTATTAATTATAACTTTATTTTTAATACAATATTATAAAATATATATTTTTAAAATTTTTTAATTCTTGATTAATATTTTGGTTAAAATCAATCCATAAAGATGAATTATTTATTTTTTTAACCAAAAAAAATAGAAAAAATTAATTAAATATGATATTATAATTAAAAAATTTTAAAATTTTAAAATAATTTTATTAAATTAAACTCGTAACGTAACACTAACAACTGATTAGTACTGTCTAATCAACATGGTTAAATAATATTCTCATGATTCGAGCCAACTTCCATTAAAAAAAAAAAAAAAATTGTGCAAATATTGTAGTACATTATTTGTCACCATGATCACTGTCATGGATAAAGATATCTACTTGTAAGAAAGAAATGGCGGGGTGATCATAAAGTCATGCCATTCTCAGCTGAATTTAAGAGATCTCTCAAAACGAGTAATGCTACAGCAGTCCTCAACTAATAACATCAGCTTTATTTGGGTCAAAGTTCCTCTGCAAGATGATAATGTGTGATGTGTACTGAGGCTCCTGTCTCCAGCTTCGTGGCCGGTAGAATTCAAATTTTGGAATAGAAGCTAAGTTTGCCGTATGCATCTATTGAACAGTTAAGTTCCCCTTCAGGCCTTGTTTCTCACAACAAGAACTTGGCTCTTGGCATTCTGAACGCAGTGAGAGCTAATGCTTCCCAGCGAAGCCCTTCTATAAAATTTTGCATCAGTATCAGACGAGGCAACGAAATCACTCTTCATGAGCATATACAGAAATTCTGACTAAAAAAATTATATAAGATATTCACTACTAAGTGATTTATTATTTTTACAAGATATTCACTGCTAAATGCTTGCAGTAGGATAGCTGTTCCATCTGGGGTTTATTTTTTAAAGGCATATCAAAATTATTTTCTGTCACCCTCAGATTGATAGCAAAAACAAGATAGGAAAACAACCTCTTGATATTTCCAATTGCGTTGTCGCCAACGTCCAGTAGATTGACACTATATACTTCTGAACTGCATCACGTATGGCCTCTTTAGGATCCCTAGCCTCAGTAATTGCCTCCACAATTACCAGAGAAGACAAAAGACAATAACCATCCCTCTATATATATCTAGTCACGGAAAATTGGTAAAAATCAAGGTCATCTGTCTTCAGGTCTATGAAGTAGGAGGTCAGCCGAACCTAATGGTCTTACCTGCCAACCTTTATTTTTACCGAGTTCTTAGCTGCTACGTGATATCACTTAAGCTAATGCTTTCAAACATAAACAGATACAATGGACCCATCCAGGGAGTCGAGGAAAGAAGAAAAAATGCAAACAGTTGTATTGAATTTTGATCGCGTGTCGTATCGTTAATAAATTAATAATTTATATTATCTTCGTGGAACCTTAATCATAATAGTATAATTAATGTAAGTAAAGGTCGAATACATAAAAAATGAGGTTTAATTGATCGTTTCTTTCGGTTGATTGTTCTTGTAGTGTAAAAGGGAGTTTTGTATTTGAAGTGTTTATGAGCAATTAAAGTAGTAAAAATAACAATATTAAGGGAAACCTTAGTTGAATTGTAGTATCCACTTTTAATTTGATCGTTGATCATCGATTAAATAATTAACTTATCCTAAACATGAATATTCACCATAGGACAACAACATGTATGTTGTCCCTAGCTTTTCCTTACTTAATCGTTAACCAAATATACGATACCCGATTAATTCTCTAGCTATTGAACAACCTATTAAGCACTACATAAATTTAATTTAATAGCAACATTAATCGGAGAAATACAAGTGAAACTAAGTCACCTTCTTAAGCACTAGAGAAAATGTAAACTAATTCTATGTTTTGCAAGGGATTGAACGAAAATGTGAAAAATAATCATCAACCTCTAGTTACTACCACAAACAAGTTTAGACAAGTAATTTCATAAACTTGAATGCTTAGCTAGCAATAAGTTAATATGATCAAACAATCAACGAGCATTCTAATCAATCTAGTCACATAACTATGAACCAATCATACAAAAAAAATATAAAATACCCAAACAAGATAAGTTTAGAAATAAAACTCCTAATCTCATAACGATTTAATCAAAAGCTTTAACTTGATTCAATCGAGAATAATATTTAGTTGTTCGGAATGGGTTACAAAGAAAGAATTTTTATCTATGGTGGTTACCGAGAACTAGAATCCTTAAATAATACCCTAGTAATACTATTTATAGCTAAAACTAGGGTTACATCACTTTGGTGTCAACCTCACATGGCCACATATGTTAGTAAACAAAATTATACGATTTGTTGCTTAATGTTATATGGTTTAGAGCCTACCAATTATATTGTTTGCTCACTAGAGGGCACTCGACTATGTGCCTTCACTCTTCATTCCGAATCCTCAAATAATACCCTAATAACACTATTTATAGCTAAAACTAAGGTAACATCACTTAGGTGTCAACCCACAAGGCCACACGTGTTACTAAACAAAATTACACGATTTATTACTTAATGTTACACGAGTTTGGAGCCTACCAATTACACTTGTTTGCTCACTAAAGGCACACAGCCGTGTGCCTTTACTCTTCATTCCTTGTTACTTCCTTACTACCATTGTAGACTTTTGCCTTCAAGCCATGTTAAATCTTTTTTGTCCATGTAGACTTCTTCTGTTTGTGAGACACGAGCGTGTGACTTTTCACTACAAACCATGTGCAATGTCTACTACTTATGTGGTCTTCTTTTCTCTTGGATTGTGCTAGGCTATGACACACGCACGGTTGTGTGGAATATTACTATAATTATAGCTTTTGTTGCTGAGCAATCCACATTGTTTCTTCCTTCATATCACACAACCAATAGCTTTTTCCTTTGTAATTTGACACGGCCATATGACTCTTTTAAACTCCTTTGGTGACTTCTCTCTCCCTTTCTTTGGTTTTGGATTTCTTTGCATTGATTCGTCGTTTTCCTTACAAAACCCAAAGCTTTCATGTTATTCTTAATTAACCTAATATAATACAATAAACACTAAAAAATTTAATATAATAAAATATAAAAATCATGCTAATTATGTACTCATCAAATTTCTGAAAAAATTTTGCTAACTAGTTAGACCTAGTTTTCATAAAGAAAACGTATTCCCAATAAAGGTGGTAAACTTGCAGAAAGTTTAGGATGCACCCACCATATAATTTGTTGCAACAAACTAGATTCTTATCAACATCAGAGTCTATACAGCAATTTAGGTGGTAGGAATGAGAGTATATGCAAAAGTTTGATCTTAACAAATAGGGCTTGCTATTCCAAACTAGCTTGTACTAAACTCAAAGCAC